CTGTTATGGTCTTGGCCTTCACAACATCATCTGGCAAGGAGTTCCACAGGTTGACTGTGTGTTGTGTGAAGAAATACTTCCTTTCCTTTGTTTTAAACCTGCTGCCTATTCATTTCATTTGGTGACCCCTAGTTCTTGTGTTATGAGAAGCAGTAAACAACATTTCCTTATCTACTTTCTCTATACCAGTCATCATTTTATAGACCTCAATCATATCTCCCCTTAACCGTCTCTTTTCCAAGCTGAAAAGTCCCAGTCTTATAAATCTCTCCTCATACGGAAGCCGTTCCATACCCCTAATAATTTTTGTCGCCCTTTTCTGAACCTTTTCCAATTCCAATATATCTTTTTTTAGATGGGGCGACCACATCTGCACACAGTATTCAAGGTGTGGGTGTACGATGGATTTATATAAAGGCAACATGATATTTTCTGTCCTATTTTCTATCCCCTTCTTAATTATTCCCAGCATTCTGTACGCTTTCTTGACTGCCGCTGCACACTGAGTGGATGTTTTCAGAGAACTGTCCACAATGACTCCAAGATCTCTTTCTTGAGTGTTAACAGCTAATTTAGACCCCATCATTTTATATGTATAGTAGGGATTATGCTTTCCAGTGTGCATTACTTTGCATTTATCAGCATTAAATTTCATCTGCCATTTTGTTGCCCAGTCACCCAGTTTTGAGAGATCCTTTTGTAGCTCTTCACTGTCTGCCTGGGTCTTAATTTTGCCACCTCACTGTTTACCCCTTTTTCCAGATCATTTATGAATATGTTGAATAGCTCTGGTCCCAGAACAGACCCCTGGGGGACATCACTATTTACTTCTCTCCATTCTGAAAACTGATCATTTATACGTACCCTTTGTTTCCTATCTTTTAACCATTACCAATCCATGAGAGCACATTCCCTCTTATCCCATGGCAGTTTACTTTGCGTAAGAGCCTTTGGTGAGGGACCTTTTCAAAGGCTTTCTGAAAATCTAAGGACAGTATATCCAAGGGATCTCCTTGGTCCACATGCTTGTTGACCCCCTCAAAGAATTCTAGCAGATTGGCGAGGCATGACTTCCCCTTACTAAAACCATGTTGACTCTTCCTCAACAAATTATGTTCATCTATGTCTGACAATATTGTTCTTTATTACAGTTTCAACCCCCAGTTTGCCCGGTACTGAAGTCAGGCTTACAGGCCTGTAATTGCCAGGATCACCTCTGGAGCCCTTTTAAGAAATTGGCGTCACATCAGCTATCCTCCAGTCATTTGGTACAGAAGCTGATTTAAATGACAGGTTACAGACTACAGATAGTAGTTCTACAATTTCCCATTTGAGTTCCTTCAGAATTCTTGGGTGAATACCATCTGGTCCTGGTGATTTATTGCTGTTTAATTTATCAATTTGTTCAAAACCTCCTCTAATTATACCTCAGTTTGGGACAGTCACCTAAAAAGAATGGCTCAGGTTTGGGAATCTCCCTCACATCCTCAGCCGTGAAGAGCGATGCAAAGAATTCATTTAGTTTCTCCGCAACAGCCTTATTGTCCTTGAGTGCTCCTTTAGCACCTCAATTGTCCAGTGGCCCCACTGGTTGTTTGGCAGGCTTCCTGCTTCTGATGTACTTTAAAAAAAAATTGCTATTACTTTTTGAGTCTTTGGCTAACTGTTCCTCAAATTCTTTTTTGGCCTTCCTAATTGTATTTTTACATTTCATTTGCCAGTGTTTATGCTCCTTTCCATTTTCCTCACTAGGATTTAACTTCCACTTTTTAAAGCATGCCTTTTTGCCTCTCACTGCTTCTTTTACTTTGTTGTTTAGCCATGGTGGCTCTTTTCAGGTTCTCTTACTATGTTTTTTAATTTGGGGTGTACATTTAAGTTGAGCCTCTATTACGGTGTCTTTAAAAAGTTTCCATGCAGCTTGCAGAGATTTCACTTTTGGCACTGTACCCTTTAATATCTAAAAAGAAAAGGAGTACTTGTGGCACCTTAGAGACTAACAAATTTATCTGAGCATAAGCTTTCGTGAGCTACAGCTCACTTCATCGGATGCGTTCAGTGGAAAATACAGTGGGGAGATTTATACACATAGAGAACATGAAAGCTTATGCTCAAATAAATTTGTTAGTCTCTAAGGTGCCACAAGTACTCCTTTTCTTTTTGCGAATACAGACTAACATGGCTGCTACTCTGAAACCTTTAATTTCTGTTTAACTAACCTCCTCATTTTTGTGTAGTTCCCCTTTCTGAAATTAAGCGCTGCAGTCTTGGGCTGCTTTGGTGTTTTTCCTGCCACAGGGATATTAAATTTAATTATATTATGGTCACTAGTACCAAGAGGTCCACCTCTTGGACCAGATCCTGTGTTCCACTTAGGACTAAATCAATAATTGCCTCTCCTCTGGTGGGTTCCAGGACCAGCTGCTCCAAGAAGCAGTCATTTAAGGTGTCAAGAAACTTTATCTCTGCATCCCATCCTGAGGTGACATGTACCCAGTCAATATGGGGATAACTGAAATCCCCGATTATTATTATTGAGCTTTTTATTTTAATAGCCTCTCTAATCTCCCTGAGCATTTCACAATCACTATCACCATCCTCGTCAGGTGGTCAGTAATATATCCCTACTGCTATATTCTTATTAGTAGAGCATGGAATTTCTATCCATAGAGATTCTATGGTACAGTTTGATTCATTTACGATTTTTACTTCATTTGATTCTATGCTTTCTTTCACATATAATGCCACTCCCCCAACAGCACGACCTGTTGTGTCCTTCCGATTTGTTTTGTACCCTGGTATTAATGTATCCCATTGATTATCCTCATTCCACCAAGTTTCTGTGATGCTCATTATATCAATATCCTCATTTAATACAAACCACTCTAGTTCACCCATTTTATTATTTAAACTTCTAGCACTGGTATATAAGCACTTTAAAAATTTGTCTCCTTTTAGCTGTCTGCCATCACACGATGTAATTGAATGGGACTCTTTTTTATTTGATTGTTTCTGATCAGATCCTGCCTGTATTTTATCATTTTGCATCCTCTCATCTTCATTAGGACATAGAGATTCTTTATTAATAGATACTCCACTAAGGGATGTCCGAACCACGTGCTCCTCCACACCTGTTAGCTTTCCCCCAGCCCTTAGTTTAAAAACTGCTCTATGACCTTTTTAAAGTTAAGTGCCAGCAATCTGGTTCCATTTTGGTTTAGTTGTAGCCCGTCTTTCCTGTATAGGCTCCCCCTTTCCCAAAAGTTTCCTGAGTTCCTAATAAATCTAAACCCCTCCTCCCTACACCATTGTCTCATCCACGCATTGAGACTCTGCAGTTCTGCCTGTCTAACTGGCCCTTTGCGTGGAGCTGGGAGCATCTCAGAGAATGCTACCATGGAGCATTCACTCAATGTAAGGATGATAGAATTTGGCCCTTCATTTGCTGGCTGAGAAATGAAACCACATACTGCTGTTTAACACTGAGTCATTGGATCTAAAATAATGTCTCCAGTGAAGAAAAATGTTTGACAAATAGAAACAAATTAAAGTGTGGTTATGGTCAGAAAAGGGGCTGTGTAAAATTGCCACCTTCTTATTCATCAAATCTGCTCCCTGTATGTATCTTGAGCCATGACACCATACACTAGAGACCTCAGTAATTTTTCCTAATTTTAATAATTGACCAGTTTTTTACTCCTGCTAATAATATAGAGGTAACACATCTAGGGGAGACTGAGCTGGATTCTGTTCTCTCTTATAACAGTGTCTGAGATTCGCAAAAGAGCCTAAAAGAATTAGGCACCCAAATCCCACTGAAATTCAGTGGAAGTTGGGCACCTTAACTTGCCTAGACCCATTTGAAAAACCTAACGAGAACTGTTAAACAAAGTTCCAGCTACAGAATCTTTGCTGCCAGTGCTGATGGACTAACCAGAAAGAACCTATCATGACTTTCAGATCCCATTATGATGTTTGCAGCGTTGGCAGCTGGGAAAAGACAGAGAGAGAGAGAAATGTTTTTCATGTAAACTAATGAAATTTGATATGGTATCCTAGAGAGACGACAAACAAGGAAACCCAAAATGCCACTTTTAGAGTCACTGTTTTGGGTATAATGATTCTTAAAGTGACTGGGTAGTTTAAGAACACAAAAAATACAGCTTGCTTTGGCAATTACAAGTAAATTACAGTTGTATAGTCAGGAAATAGGGCTGTTTAGCATACTGTGACAAAGTTCCTCCTCTACCTTGGTGGGTCTTGCACTTATTGGCAGATTCGCTCGCCGTGGAGCTTCACAGCAGCCCTCAGCTTGGCTGTTTTTCTGAACCCACAGTCCAGGTCGACTCCTCCTGTGAAGGAGTTGGGAGGATTTGTGGGGAACCCGGGCCCGCCCTCTACTCCAGGTTCCAGGCCAGGGCCCTGTGGAATGCAGCTGTCTAGAGTGCCTCCTGGAACAGCTGTGCGACAGCTACAGCTCCCTGGGCTACTTCCCCATGGCCTCCTCCCAACACCTTCTTTATCCTCACCATAGGACCTTCCTCCTGGTCTCTGATAATGCTTGTACACCTCAGTCCTCCAACAGTCCGCGTTCTCCCTCTCAGCTCCTAGTGCCTCTTGCTCCCAGCTCCTCACACGTGCACCACAAACTGAAGTGAGCTCCTTTTTAAAACCCAGGTGCCCTGATTAGCCTGCCTTAATTGATTCTAGCAGCTTCTTGATTGGCTGCAGGTGTTCTAATCAGCCTGTCTTAATTGTCTCCAGAAGGTTCCTGATTGTTCTGGAACCTTCCCTGTTACCTTATCCAGGGAAAAGGGACCTACTTAGCCTGGGGCTAATATATCTGCCTTCTATTACTCTCCTGTAGCCATCTGGCCCGACCCTGTCACAATACTTTTACAACAGATTCTACTGCAGAAATACTAGAAATTTATAAATTTCCTGGATCCGAAATAATTCCAAAAAATCTAAAGGTGAAGAGAAGCATTTAAGCAGCTTACCTTTCTGATGACAACTACTTAGTAATATCTTTGCTCCAATGAGTCATCCTGAGGGGAACTCCTCAAAGAGATGGACCTTCTTTCAAGGACATCATCAATTTCAGGATCAGTGGCTCCCTGAAAAAACCTGTCCGATTAATTTCATTGTTCATCTTCATAAGCACTGCTAATGTACCTAGCCAAAAGCAAACCTATCAGCTGTTTCCAGGGGAGTTAAAACTACTTATTACTATAAGTTCAGGGCAATAAATCTAGGAGATTGTCCTCTATACTTCCCAGCGTTATTGGCTGGAATCATGTCAGTGAGATAGTAGCAAGTAACACCAGCTTCAGTAAACTCACTGGAAATATGTCTCCATATGGAAGTTTTTGAAATTATGCAACAAGAACAGTTCCTGATTGATACAAGGTATAAACTGAAAATAATGGGAAGAGCAGAGACAAAATGACTACAAAAGTTTTATGAGCAGAAAAGAGCTGTAGGTACATGAGTACTTTGAATGTAGGGTTCCAAAGAGGCAGTGTGGCTCAGTGGACTGAAAGGGAAGCTCTATTGCGTTCTACTCCAAGCTCTGTCATTGATTTATTGTGTGGCAAGTCACTTAAACGTTCGGCTCAAAGTCATCTCTGGTGTAACTAAACTAAAGTATATGGAGTTATAGCAGGGATTAATGTGGCCCTGGGAAGTGGATTTGCTCACTAGAGAGTATAAATGTTGGCTCTGTTTGACTTCATGATAAACATTTTTCTAAGTGGAGTCAAGGTCAGTTACACCGGATGGCACTATAGCTATGTCTACACTACACACCGTTTTGCGCGGCATGTGGTGTACATGTAGCTATACTCCACAGTGAAAAGAACACCACGTCCACACTCTGATGTGTAGCTCCATGTGTCAGTGAAAGGCTCTGGCAGAGGCAAGGCAGTGGGGCAGCAGCAGGAAGCTACTCTGCTAAAAACAACAAGTGTAGAAGGAGAGGCACAGCTTGGACATGAAGAGAGCCATGTAGAGTATGTAACTCACATGCACACCCACATCCTTCAGGTGCACCTTTCCTCTACTCACCTAAGCCATGCCTCACTGTTTACACTGCTACTTATAACTATGCTGTAGTGTACATGGGATGTATGCTACAGGCCGCCAAAAGAAGCATGTAGGGCCGATGCACCCTTTGTGACATCAGGGTGTGACAGCAACTGTTTGAATTTTAAGATCCAGAGTTCTTAAATATCCCAGTGAAATGAAAAGCTTGATCCTGCAACCCTTATTCATGCAAGTTCTCCTGTTGACTTCTATCATCCTGTTATGAGTTTGGTATTTATTATTAATCCCATTTTACAGGTGGGTAAAGGGAGACTGAGACAACCAATTTCACCCCTTGTGTAACTTCAGTGGGGATATTGCTATCAGTAAGGATCATATAGTTGGCCTGGGGAGAGGGCATCATGGCTCAGATATACATCCTTTCTCTTTTAGCATCAATGAAATGTATTATGTGCATTTGTTACATTAGAAATAGGCCAAACAGTGTGGAATGCTTTGAGTACCTCTGAACGGGTAGGTATTTGCGCAAGGCAGCCACGGTAAAGCAGGGCTGTGAAGTGCCAATTTATTTATTTAAAATTGCCATGGGATACTAGGCTAGATCCAGGAACGTTGGATCCCCATATTAGCAAAGAGATACCTGTCAATAATGGCATCCAGCTGGCCACTGTGCAGGTTAGGCTCATACATGAACACAAGTACAGTGGCTCACACCTCAAGATAGTTCAGAGTGCTATTCATATGGACTCGCTGCAGAAGAGGTATCAAAAAAGCCTTTGTGCTTCAGCAATTGTACTGAAACCATTTCCTTTTGTTAATTCATCTCTCCATGCATTACGGAGTGTGGGTTCCAACATTATTACACCTCTTTTTATCCTAACTCATCCTTACATTCTCAATCCCTTCTCTGTTACAGCCATGGACACCACTGCTGCATTTGTGTAGTGTACAGAAGTGGTGCTGAAGACAGGGGTGAAAGTAACTTAAAGGACTTATCGGTACTCCGGAGTCCTGAGCAGGGCGCGTGGCCTCGACCAGAAGAGGCGTGGCCTCAACTGGAAGAGGCGGGCCGGGCCCTTTAAATCAAGATTTAAAGGCCGCAGGCTCCGGCTGCAGCTGGGAGCCCCGGGGCCTTTAAATCACCCCCAGAGCTACCAGCTGCAGAGGTGGCTGGGAGCCCCGGGGCTCTGGGCACTTTAAAGAGCCTGGGGCTCCGGCCGCTGCGGGGAGCCCCAGGCCCTTTAAAGCACCAGCCTGGGGAAGCTGGTCCGGTCCGGCACGGTGTACTAGCTCTTGCCGGTACACCGGACCGAACCGGACAGTCTTACTTTCACCTCTGGGTGAATACCAATGAGACAATATTTAGTCCAGACCATCTTTGGGTGAATACTCTGGATGCTGAAAACCCGGCTGTAACATTTATAAGTCAATGGGGGCAGTGGGAGGTTGAGTGGACAGAGAAACCTATAACCTAGGAAGTGCAGATAATTAGGTGACACTGTCACATCAGCACCAGCTGCTCTCAAGTTGTAATATTAATACTCACAAAGGAAAGTCTCTGCTTTGCCTGGTTTGAGGTTAGGAGATTCTGCACTCTCTTGTGGATCTTTTCCCAACTGAAATGAGGATTGGAATATAACCTGCAAAAATGTATCAAAACAGTCACATCCCAAATTCTCCTCTGTCATAAAGACATTTTATTTTTTCCGCCAAGTACCTTATTCATAATTCATAAAGAGGGTGTTTGGCCCTCTTGAAACACAAAATATGTCATGTCATTGAGAATATGACCCACGATTTAAAGGATCCACTTAAGATGGGACTCAGCAATCTTTTGGCTGTGTTTTTCTTAAGTAGATGTGTTAATACTGTACAAATGAAGAAGAGAGGAGAAACTGACATATTCTAATAACGTATCTTAACGGATATTAGTGGCCAAGGCCACAGTTCAGTAAGGCATGTGAGTAGTTCTATTGACTTCAACTCACATATTTAAAGTTAGACACATATTTACATGCCCTGCTGATCAAAGCCCAATAGGTATTTTCTTCCTTCTTCTCATTCTTTCCCGTTTCTGATCTTTCACCCCATCTTTGCCCTTCTGTATCTTTATGAACATTTTCCTCTCTCATTTTCATTTTTGTCTCCCTCACACTTATTATTTTCAAACGTGCAATCGTTTTACCGGCAGCTGGTTTCTCACAGACCACCCACTTACCCCTTCAAGCTATTTTTCTTTTTTTCTGCCATTTCCTTCAGCTTTTTATTATCTCCATTCATCTCTCGCTCACTCACCCTCTCTCCCTGCTCACATTTGGTGATACTTACTGCTCATTCCCACTCCTTCCCTTTAATTATGTTCCACTTTCCTTTTGCTGGCATTTTCTCCTCTCTCCCCCACCCCAGGTTTCCCACCTCATTCTTTCCCTCACGCTCTCCCCATTTTTCCTAACCTTTCCCCCTGTCTCTTCAAATATCTTCCTTTTCCCCACCATTCTTTTTCTCTCCCCTTTGATGCTGTCTTCTGCTCTCTTGGACCATCCCTCCTCCCCTGCACTGCATACAGCAAAATAATCCAAAGAAGTCTTCCTCTCCCCTGCTGGCAGCATTCACTTTCCTGAACAAAGTGCCGTCAATCAACTATAACATCTTTAAAAGGCTGCATTATAGATGGTTCTGCCACGTAACTAAATGCATAAATTAACATTATCACTGAAGCCTCCAGGCAATTTCGACATTCAGTTTAAGTCATGCCTAGTACGGTCTGCAGTGCAGGATTTGTACTCTCTTGGGCAGGACCAGTGCATTGATAACAAGTAGGAAATGACTAAGCAAAGTAAAATTTGCAGGCAATGTCAAAAGGTTAGAACAGAAGGCCAAACCTCTGGGTTCTGGCCTGCTCTGCCACTCCGTTACTTTCAGGTGAAGATACTTAACCACTGTATGCCTCAGGTACCCACTTGGTAACATGGCCTAATGCTGTTTTCCTAACTCACAGAAGAGGTGTGAGGATTAATCAATGTGCTTTAACATTACTGAGAAGTAGCGCAGCTACACCTGCTTTGACTATTATAAGCAAAGGCCAGACTGCTCCTTTATTCCTTGGGAGATAAAGTCCAGGATAAAGATGAATTTTTCTTTTGTCCAAAACCTCACATTAAAGTAAATGAACATGAAAAGCACCACAATGATTCTTCTTATAGCCAATAAACATCAACCGCCAAGGAACAACACGTATCCGTCAGCAAAGTGCAGCTCTCAGCACCATACTTCCATTATGTGCAGCAATTCAGAGAGTAACTGTGCTTTGCAACTCCAGTAGAAGAAAACAGTATTTTACAGCGCTGATCCACAAAGTGCAGAGCCAACATAGCGTCTGCAGGGCTGCACATAATGATAATGAACAGAAAGAATCCAGTTCTTTAAGTGCAGTCCACATGATCGCCAATGTTACTCTGATACCATTGTCTCAGTTTAGCCCTGCAGTATATAGCACCACAAAACTATCTCCCCAAGCTGCCATTTCATAAGTTGCCAGAAAATCACAACTTTCCAACAACAACAAAAAACACCCTTAGATTTAATGAGTTAAACTTTTCAAAATCCTATTCTGAAAAAGCTGCCTAATTCGTTTGTTTGCTCACAGAGATAACCAATCTCAGACACAAACCATGCATGTACCAATAACGTTCACGCTGCTGCGTATAATGGGACAAGTTTTCAAAACATGGCCTCTACACACACAATTTTTTTTTTTGCACATTGGCATCTGCAAGTGATTTTCTAATGGAAGCTCTGTCTGCATGTGCAAAATGGGCATAAAATACACTTACATTGGGTTTGAACATATAAATGATATCACTTGACACATCCAAGAGATCATGCACACACAAAAATCACATGTGCAGGCAACTGTGTGCACAAAAAGAAGCCACTTTGAAAATTTGGCCCACAAGTTCATCTTACCCTTGTGGCCATAATCAAGAGTTTCATGCGAGATTTGGAGATTTGGACTTTGCTGAGTTGGTGAAGACGGCCTCTTCCACAAAACAATTCCGCTACTACACTGTGAAATAAGGGGCTGTCATTTTTCTAAGTTCTCACCCAACCAGGCTGCCCTGAAGGTATCAATGATTTTAGTCAGATATTTAGGCAGTTGTCTGCCCAGAAAGAGAGGGTAGGATAGGGGCTTGAGCAGAGAACTGGTCATGCCAGAAAACCATTAGAGCAGCACGAAGGAAGGAAAGCTCTTTATTAAAGAAATAGCATGTAAAAGGATGCTTTATTCATCAAAAACACCACAGCTATTTTCGTACCTGTTGGGTTGTATAACTAAAGGGATTGGATACTTAACTTTTTGAACTTTAGGCATCTGAATATGAAAGTTTAGCCCTAATCGTCCATTTATAGTATAGTTAAAATTGTTTGAGCACCTCAGCACAATCCTTTGCAATACAATTTGTCCCATCTACACAGACAAACATATTAGAGGAACCCTCTTACAACCCTGTGTTTTTCTGTTGTTGATGATCTCCTGAAGGTAAAGAGTCACCAGTGCTTTATTTTCACATGGCATGCAATAGAGGGGAATTTAGCCAACTTAAACCATCCTAAGTCTGAGGCTAGTCAGCACCTCTTTTTTCACACAGAAGCACCTATTTTCCCATCCGTTACACAGACCTATAAACAGAAAGTAAATGGAACATTATCTTTCTGGACTCTTCAGCCTATATACTACATAGAACCTAGCAGATAGAGAATCAGTGAAAACTAGACAAGGAATACTCAGCAACGAGCCATTCCTGACAAAGACCCTGATCCAGCAAAGCACTGTAGCATGTGCTTAACGAAAAGCGTATGAGTATTCCCAGTGACTTTATTGTAGCAAAACTGAGACTACACACATGCTGAAAGTTAGCTACATGCTTAAGTGCTTTGCTGGATTGATGCCTAATGGGAAAATGATTTAAAAGTTATTTTGATTGATATCCAAAATATTCTGTGTACGGAGGGCTGTGGGGGGGTGGGAGGAAGGTGGCATTATCAATTATTCGGAAAGACCCAACCAGAGACACAACTGTTCCTTAGATTTTAAGATCTTGGGGCAGGGACTGTCTTTTTGTTCTGTGTTTGTACAGCACCTAACACAACAAGGTTCTGGTTCAATACAAATAAACAAACAAGAAGATATGTTCTTGACAATTTGTCTCAGAAAAAAGACCATTTTTTCTGTCCTGTTAAGTTTCCCATGTGCTCTCTGAAGTGTAGAGCTTTTTCCTTTTCTTCTCCAAAATAATACCGAACTAGCTGCAGCCTCCTCCGATGCAACATGTGGCTGCCAACAAACTGTTCTAACCTCTGACCTGCATGTTCTGCAATGCAGGACCAGTGGACACCAAAGAAATCATTCTTCTTGTACTTTTGGCAACAAATTTCCCCTTTCAGCCAAGGCAATCAACAGCCCTTAACATATTTCAGGGTGATAGGCGGACTAAACTCAGCAATGATATCAGACAACTTCTGACTATCAGGTTAAAGTAAGACTCAGACTCTATTTATAGATAGATATATTAAAGAAAGAGCAAGTTAAAGAAGTATGGATTGGATGAATGGATTATAAAGTGGTGTGACAAAGTTCCTCCTCTGCGTTGGTGGGTCCTGCGCTTATTGGCGGATTTACTCGCCTCAGAGGTTCACAGCAGCTCTCAGTTTGGCCACTTTCGTGGCTCAAATCTGCTGTTCACTCAGTTAGCCTCATCACTGGCCAGCATGGGGAAAAGGAAGAAGAACAATCCCCGCAGTCTCCGCTGATCCACCTAGTGGATCAGGGAACAGGCCAGAGACCTTCCCCTCTGGTGGAACCCACAGACCAGGTCAACTCCTCCGGTATCAAGTAGGGAGTTGGGGGGAACCCGGGCCTGCCCTCTACTCCAGGTTCCAGCCCAGGGCCCTGTGGATTGTAGCTGTCTACAGTGGCTCCTGTAACAGCTGCATGACAGCTACAACTCCCTGGGCTACTTCCCCATGGCCTCCTCCCAACACCTTCTTTATTCTCACCACAGGACCTTCCTCCTGATGTCTAATAATGCTTGTACTTCTCAGTCTTCCAGTAGTATGCCTTCTCACTCTCAGCTTCTTGCGTCTCTTGCTCCCCACACGCACACCACAAACTGAAGTGAGCTCCTTTTTTAAAAACCCAGGTGCCCTGATTAGCCTGCCTGTCTTAATTGATTCTGGCAGCTTCTTGATTGGCTGCAGGTGTTCTAATCAGCCTGTCTGCCTTAATTGTTTCCAGAAAGTTCCTGATTGTTCTGGAACCTTCCCTGTTACCTTACCCAGGGAAAAGGGACCTACTTAACCTGGGGCTAATATATCTGCACTCTCTTGTAGCCATCTGGCCTGACCCTTTCACAGTGGATAGAAAGCTGGCTAGATTGTCGGGCTCAATGGATAGTGATCAGTGGCTCGATGTCTAGTTGCCAGCTGGTATCAAGCAGAGTGTCCCAGGGGTCGGTCCTGGAGCCGGTTTTGTTCAACATTTTTATTAATGATCTGGATGATGGGATGAATTGCACCCTCAGCAAGTTCGCACTAAGCTGGGGGGAGAGGTAGATACGCTGGAGAGTAGGGATAGTGTCCAGAGTGACCTAGACAAATTGGAGGATTGAGCAAAAAGAAATCTGATGAGGTTCAACAAGGACAAGTGCACAGTCCTGCACTTAGGAAGGAAGAATCCCATGCACTGCTACAGGCTGGGAACTGACTGGCTAAGCGGCAGTTCTGCAGAAAAGAACCTGGGGGTTACAGTGGACGAGAAGCTGGATATGAGTCAACAGTGTGCCCTTGTTGTCAAGAGGCCCAACGGCATATTGGGCTGCAGTAATAGGAGCATTGCCAGCTGATCAAGGGAAGTGATTATTCCCCTCTATTTGGCACTGGTGAGGCCACACCTGGAGTATTGTGTCCAGATTTGGGCCCCCCACTACAGAATGGATGTGGACAAATTGGACAGAGTCCAGCAGAGGGCAACAATAATGATTAGGGGGCTGAGGCATATGACTTATGAGGAGAAGCTGCGGGAACTGAGGTCATTTAGTCTGCAGAAGAGAAGAGCGAGGAGGGATTTGATAGCAGCCTTCCACTACCTGAAGGGGGGTTCCAAAGAGGATGGAGCTCAGCTGTTCTCAGTGGTGGCAGATGACAGAACAAGAAGCAATGGTCTCAAGTTGCAGTGGGAGAGGTCTAGGCTGGATATTAGGAAACACTATTTCACAAGGAGGGTGGTGAAGCACTGGAATGGGTTACCTAGGGAGGTGGTGGAATCTCCATCCTGAGAGGTTTTTAAGGGCCAGCTTGACAAAGCCCTAACTGGGATGATTTAGTTGGTGCTGGTCCTGCTTTGAGCAGGGGATTGGATTAGATGACCTCCTGAAGTCGCTTCCAACCCTAATATTCTATGATTCTATGGTTCTATGATTGAAAAGATTGGGACTGTTCAGTTTTAAAAGTCAAATACCTTGGGCCATGACAGAGGTATAAAGACTAGTGAATGGTGCAGAGAAGATAAATCCTAGCTACTCTTTCTCACAATATAAGAACAAGGTGGGCAGTCAGTGAAACTTAAAGGCAACAAATTTAAAGCTGATGAAAGTAAATACATTTGTTGTCTGTTTGTTTTTCACACAATGGATTAGTTGTGTGTGGAACTGATTGCTACTAGATATTATTGAGGTCAAAAGCGCATTTTTAAGGCTAATAAGAACATTAGGTATGATTTAAAAGATCTTTACAGTACATAAATCTCACGTATCAGAACATAAGCCATAACCATTAATTGACTGGGGTTAGGAAGAAACTTTTTCTATTAATGTATTTTTCCCCAATTGTTCATAATGCGGTTCTTGTACCTTTCTCTCAAGTATCTGGTTTTAGTCACTGTCAGAGACAGGATATACTAGACTCGAAGAACCACTGGTTTGTTGCTGTATTGCTGTTCCTAAGTTCCCATACTTGTTCTCGCAGGTCTATATCTTTCAATAATCACTCTGAGTACTGTCAAAATGATCCACAGAAACATATCTGAGAGTCACAAACTCAACACCCTTAGAAAGTAGCTTGAATGTGAATGTTTTTGGTCATTCAACATCTCTGCTCCTACTTACAGCACCATGTCACTCAATTACAGATTTTTATAAAGGATCAATACCTTTGTTGCAGAGGAGAGTGACTCCGAACAGGACTAGGTGATCTGTAATGTGGGGAGGTGGCAAATGATGCTGTGCGGTGAAATGTCAAATCTCCTTGAGTAGGAGAACTGCCAGGGTAATTTACAAGTTCATCTGTTTCAAGAGATGATGAATCATGTTCAGATGTGGTCTGTTCATCCGGTTCCCTGATAACCTGTGGAACAAAGAAACATTTTTCTTTAGTTAGAAAGGACACAGGGAGGAGGAGAAAGGGGGAGAGAGAGAAGGAGAGGAAGGGAGCAAACAGTGACAGTCTGCAGTATTTTGTTGCATTGAAGAGGGGGTGGGGAATATCAGGCTGAAGTTGAAAACTCATAATGCCATATGTATAAAAGGACAGTTTTAAGTATGAGCAAACCCTAGATCTGGACAGGTAAATGGGAACACTTCAAAAATCTGGACCAAACAGAAGCTCTGATTAGTTGTGAGCCACATTTTCTAATAATAAGCAGAATCTATCACGCTGTTGGACAGCTAACCATTAGTCACTAACAAAAGCTAATAAAAGTCAATATTTCAGCCAGTCAGAAACAAGTTTATTTGTGAAAATGTAGCGTAGCGTAGGATCAGATAAGCAAGCTATTTCTACCATAAAGCTCTAAACCTTAATTGTGCTGTATTAGAATGAAGCTCCTTCCCACACAGTCAGTCATCTTAACTTTTGATGTTGCAAGAGATTAAGTAGAAAAACACCACAAAGTGGGGCAGTGAAAAAGGCCTATAAACAACCCGCACCTGCCAGTTGGGAATTTGCCAGTTGGGAGTTTTTTGTAATATCGACTTCAAGGTGCTTGTGATAGGACAACAAAGAGGTCTATCTATAGAGCTTATAATTAAATACAGGGTCAGAGCTTGTGCAACAATGTCACTCCAAGCAAACAACTCCATTCTCTCAGTCCCTGAAGCAGTCCGACTTTGGATACTGCTCTTCAGTTCTCTGGCTAGAACAAAACAGAAACCTTGTAGAATCCAAACCTGTTGCAATGTGGTGTGTCAAATTCTGTCCCAGTTATACCCATCCAACACACCTCACTGGAGTAATGACATTGCTGGGTAATAAGGAGAACAGAATTTGGCACACTTTCTCTAGAAGAGCCACATGGGGCACAAGTACCTCATTCAATTGTTTGCCACAAAAATGTACCTGTAAGACACTTTCCCATTTACTGTTCAAACAAGTCAGTGATGAAGCAGTGTAACACAATTCAACAACAGACAGGGTGACTTCCAAATGAGCTCACTCATCAGATATTCTGCTATGGAGAAAGACTCAGGGGCACTGTAAAAGGGCAAAACTTTTACTTCACTCATAATACAGCACAAGCACAACAGATTTTGGTCCAAACTCACCCCATCCCTGGCGTTTGCATTTATTCTTAACTAATGCAAGGGCTGAGGCAAATCTTAGCCCGAGCTCCTTCCTGAGCAGCCTAAGCTTCAGGATCCTCCCTGTAATAGCTCTGGTCAACCCATGTGACTCTCTCTTGGCTCAGAGAACTCCTCCTTAGTCTTTTACATTCCTGAAGTCAAGCTAATGAGCTCCTCCTAGCCTAGCTACCAGGTCAAGTCAGCTCAATCGTTTTGCTCCCCTGCACATGGTCCTGTGTGTTGACACCTGGTCATGGATGCTGATGGATAAGCTAGTCGCTGATCACAGTCTTTTTTATTCTATGGGTAGATTGTAGTGCTAGGAACTAACACTGATAGTGCTATTTTGATTAAGCCAGGTAAATGTGGTGCAACTTTCCATAATGCACCTCAATCCTGATCCAAAATGACCATATCTATTTCAACCCCATACATCTCTTTTGAGCCAAGACTTCTGACTGTGCAAGACAGCCTGGTGTTTTTGTTTTATGGGCAGATGGGAAGCAGGGTGAGAACAACAAACTCATTTCCTCTAGTAATCTAAAGCAGGATTTAAAGCTATCTCTCCAGAGATGAAGGACACATACAGCTAATCCCCTGGACACCTCTCCCTTCTCCCCTTTAGTACAACAGGCAAATTCTCTAAGCTAGCCAGAACACAGCAAGTAAGAGTGCAGCACACTAGTACACCTATCTGTGGCATGACTATCCAATAGCTAAAATAATTACATTTACATCAGTCACTTGGGACAATAGAAATAAAGTCACTATAACAGAACAGTGTCATAGGATCAGCATCTCCTTTTCTGGAAATAAATAATTTTCCCATGCCTCAACATTCATCTAATAGCAGCAGATCGTTATCCTTTCACCATGTTCTATTCCATTCATATTCTCTTTCAATCATTCTATAAGAACAGGAATGGCTCTGGGTTAGGGATTTTGCAGAATCTTAACCTTCAGCTGTATTATACTCTATCTATACAACATCATTTTGGATCATCGGAGAGCAAGGAGGTGAGGAAGGGTTCTCTGATCTAATATCTGTTATACATCATGCATTATGAGATTGATACTTAAGGAGAAAAACAACCAGCATTTATTAACAATCCACACTTTATTCATATCATAGATCACTTTTCAAGAGCCATTTTATTTAGAGAAGAGTAAAAAGTGAACATTGGAGGGCACTTTTTGACTCCTAGCCTAGAACTGGTAATAGGATATGGAACTTTCCACCTCTCGGTTAATCTGGCTAGCTTGGTGATGACTGACAGTTGTCAGTATCTGATGGCTGTTTGATGGTCTGTGTGACATGATTTGGTCTGATCTTTTGTGAACTAGTGTCAAAATCAGAAAAAAATATAATCACAATGGGCAAAGTAAAATACCTACTACAGTGGCCAATGATTGAATGGGAATGGGCAACCTTTTTCCCTCCGATGTGATCTTAGATTTTGGCACATTGGTAGGATTTAAATATTTCAAAGTGAATTTAGTACTGGTGAAAGGTGGTAGATTGGGAGCACCGGAGATGGAGATGTGTATTGCAGAACAGTAATGCAAACCCTCCGATGCTATCCTACCGACGTGCCTGAACCCAGATGTGTAGAGACCATGTAGGAATGAGATAGTTCACATTTATTTCTTGGCCTTTCTGCTAAAGTTGCTGAGAACCATATCAACCAGAGTAGCAGCGGCTTTTTTTATGTGAATACCAGTCCAAACTGAGACTATTAACTAATTTCACAGAGACATACAGTAGCTTACCAAACAGCTATCAGATAGTAACGATTTCCTGTTAATACTGCTCTGAGATTGAATTGAATTGATGACTTCAGGACAAATGGCGCCATATTCCATTATTAAAACTGTATGTTTGTCTAGGCTATGACTTCTATTATAATAGATTTCCATGTCGGTTTGTCACAGCCTTGATATCTAAAGTCATGGGTCTTTGTCACCCTGGCCAGAACTCTAGTGCGGTAGATTCTTCTAAGGAGTTTTACAAATTTGGCTCTGTAGATGTCCAGTGTAATGATGTCTGGGTAACTGTCCTGATTTTTAAATAGTTTCAACCTATTTTTATGGCAAAATAAAGATTTTTTTCTGAAAACAATGTGACCTGTAACTTTTTGACATTGTATTCTATAAATTTGTGAGTTTTTTTCTCGCAATAACCAGAGCAGGGCTTTTCTCATAATTTCCCATTACAGATAACCAGACCTAGCCATTACTGTCCCCTGAGCGATCAACTCCCCTCATTTAATTCTCTTTTTAAAATATGTAGATTAAACTACTAACAGAAGAGATGTAATTTTACAGTTATTTTTTAAATTACCTTAACTGAGGCATTTGATGCTTCACAGCTATCAAAAGATAAAGCTAAAAGAAAAAAGACATTTCAATGACTGATTATTAGCAGTTACTCTTACATTACTACTTTCACTGTTCATCCACATATTAGCACTGAACTCAGAACGTAATCACAAGATGACTAAAAATGTTCCTGGTAGAGCATAAGAATATACGAGCTGCCATACTGGGTCAGACCATCTTGCCCGGTACCCTGTCTCTGACAGTAGCCAGTACCAGAGCTTCAAGGGGAATACAGAGGGGCATGGATCAGCGTTCATGTCACACTCCCCGTCAGTACCCAGCCTGGGCCAGGGAAACAAATGATCCAACCAAGCAGACCAAATTTGGTGATGAATCCTGGTCACGTGCACTTGAGGCATGTTGCACATACATTAAGAAGAAGGGGGAGTGTACACAACAGAGCAATTATGGAGTTATCCACACCTGTCTTGCACACCTGACTTCTGGTAGTAAAAGGTTTAGGGTCACACCAAGCATGGTGTTCTATCCCTGACCATCTTGGTTTAAAGCCACAGATGGACCTATCCTCCATGAACTTATCCAGTTCTTTTCTGAATCCAGTTATACTTCTGGCCATCACAACATCCCAAAGCAACGAATCCCATAGTTTAGCTGGTTGCTGTGTGAAAAAGTACTTCCTTTTATTTGCATTATACCTGCTGCCTATTAATTTAATGGGGTGACCCTTGGTTCTTGTATTGTGGTAAAGGGTAAACAACACTTCTCTACTGACTTTTTCCACACGCCATAATTTTATAGACCTCTATCATATTCCCCCTTAGTCATCTCTTTTCTAGGCTGAAAAGCGCTAATCTTTTTAGACTCTCCTTATAGGGAAGCCATTCCATACCCTTGATCATCTTTGTGGCCCTACTCTAAACTTTTTCCAGTTCCACTATATCCTGTTTGAGATATGGCAACCAGAACTGGACACAGTATTCAAGGTGGCATTATGGTATTTTCTGGCTTATTTTCTATCCCTTCCTTAATAGTTCCTAACATACTGTCAGCCTTTTTGACTATTGCTGTGCACTGAGAGAAAGTTTTCAGAGAACCACCCATGGTGACTCCAAGTTCTCTTTCTTGGGCGGCAATAGCTAATTTAGAATCCATCACTGTATTTGTAAAGTTGGGATTATTTTTTCCAATATGCATTACTTTGCACTTATCAATGTTGAATTTCATCTGCGATTTTCTTCTCCAGTCACCCATTTTTGTGAGATCCCTCTGTAACTCACTGCCACTGACATTTTCTACAGCCTGATATAACAGTCGTAATTTGAAACCTCCCATTGGTCAAAGGAATTGCAATAGATGACCTAGTCTCTTTAGATCACCAACTGCAGAAGTAATACATAGTGTAGTGGTTCTCAGCCAGGGATCTGGGGATCCCTGGGAGGCTGCGAGCAGGTTTCAGGGGGTCTGCCAAAATAAAGCAGAGAGCAGGGCCAGTGTTAGATTTGCTGGATCCCACAGCAGAAAGCTGAAGCCCGAGTCCCACCACCTGGGGCTGAGGCCAAAGCCCAAGCAACTTAGCTTCATGGACTCAGGCGTGGGGCATGAGGCAATTGCCCTGCTTGCCACCCACTAACACCAGCTCTGGCTTTTTATCTACGGGATATGCAAAAACCAGTTGTTGTGGCACAGGTGGGTGGTGGAGTTTTTATAGCATGATGTGCGGGGGGGGCTCAGAAAAAAAAAAGGTTGAGAACCCCTGACAGTAGATATGTTGAGGTTAATTCAAATGACCAAGAAACTGAAATATTATGGTCCAGCTTCGCTCCTTCTCAAACATCCGTTTGGCACAGAGAGGAGGAGCTGCCAAGATCAGGGAGGGGGATCTGAATGTCAAACTAAGTTCTCTCCATCTTGTGAATTATTACTAATGAGAAAGGCTCTAGCGGCACTTAAGTTTTGCCAGGTGAAATGCATTGGAGGATCATATCCTCAGTCCTACCTGTGATGGCTCTGCAGGGCTAACAGGAGCAAAGAGAACTATAAACATAGCATTGTTAATAAATGCAACAGATATGACTCTCACTACACTAAAGGAAATATCTGAGTAAGAAGGTAGCATTTTTACAAAGTCACTTTTCCAAGTAGAAGTTCACTGCTATCAGTGACTATTTGAAGAAGTTGCCTTTTGAGTATATGGCTTTATTTCTTTGCCCAATGTGCTGATTACTTGATGAATATTCAGCTTGTGACAAGGATCAGAACAAAGAATACGAAAAATTATAGATTTCATGGCCTCAGGGGGCCTGATCCAAGGCATGTTGCAGGCAATTGGAGTATTTCTACTGATTTCAATGGCCTTTGGATAAGTCCCTTAGAGAAAAGACTTCCTGACAGTGGTAGCACATAATAATGGAGAAGAAGAGGTAATGTTGGTCTGCGGACAACAACTCTTTCCTTCAAAAGAGCATACTACTAAACAAGAGAGAAATCAGCTCCCACGCTAAACTGTCATGCAGTACTGAGGTGTACTGTAAAACAGCAGCCATGGTCTTCTACCCCAGCAATGGCTGTAATTCAGCTGTGAGCACATTTCTGCATTTCAGGCCAGATTCTGCTCCCCTTACTCACTCCAAGTAGTGCTTCACTCCGCAAACAGCCCCTTTGAAATGTGAGTGGCAGAATGCAGTCCATAGTTTGCAAACATCTTTACAATTAGGATAAATGGTGCTCTTACTTCTATAATAAATTTATTAAAAACAAATTTTAAGTACCTTGTTTCAATTGAAATTCAAGCGAATTCCTTGCTGAGCTCACATTTTGTTTTGGATTTCGATAAGGTAACTGTGATGAAGTTTTTTCACCAAATGGGTTAGAACTGTCTACCTAAAATGAAAGATATATAGTATGTGAGGTAATATCTTCTATTGGACCAAATTCTGTTAGTGGAAGGGACAAGCTTTTGAGCTCCACAGAGCTCTTCTTCAGGTCTGGAGAAGGTTAGCAGAGGTCCAAGCTAAATACAAGGTGGGACTGATTGCTAGGTTCACACATGCTGTAGGAAACCACTTAAAATGAAGTAGGCCAATGGAGGGTTATTAGACAGCAGGGGGTGTCACAAACAGTTGTCATGGGCCATAAAACCAGTGTCTCTATTCATATATTCAGCATGTGACAACAATCAGAAACACTGCAAACAACTATCTAAAATGAAGGAATAATATGAAGTTGCTATTTTTATTCTGTGAAAACTAGGACTGGACATGAACATATTTGCAGCTTCTTACAGTCTATAAAGAAAAGAATTAAAAAAAATGTTCTTCCCTCCCTCCCTCCCTCCCTCTTTCTTTCTTTCCTTTCACAACTACAAAAATAAACAAAAGAGGAGAACAATATACACAGCACAGTGCAGACATTTCAGCAAAACCCCCTAGTCTAAAAAACACTGGGAATTCTGACATTACTGATGCTTTTAGAATAAGGAAATGACCAGAATGAAGCCACCATCTTGTTATAGAAGAGGTACTGGATGTGGCACTTGAACTTTTGAGTTTTCTTTTAAATTTGTGGTTAGGACAGTTTTGAAAAATGCTTTCATCTTCATGGGGACTCAAAAAAATCTTTCATCTTCATGGAACAGGGAACTCAAACAATATGCCCTTCATGGATTGCAACAGGGTATCTATAGGAATTTAAAACATTATAAACAACCATTTAAAATAAAGTAAAACTACAAATTGGGGAAAATGATACATAGATAATTTAGTGGATTGGCTGGGGTGTTTAGATAGATCTGTCTGTGTCTCTCTCTCTGCCAGGATCTAATTTAGGCTTCTCTACAATGCACATCATCTTAACATATAAAAATACTGAGATACAGCACTTTTGAATCCCCCCCTCGCCCTTTTCCATATATATACATATATATACACACATATACACCTCACATGGGCACTGTAATGCTTAATTGGCTAGTGTTTGTAAAGTACTTTGAGATCTTCAGATGAAAGGCCCCATCAGTTCAAAGCCCAGGGAAATCAATGGAAGTCTTCCCACTGACTTGAATGTTCTCTAGATTCGCCATTTAAGAAGTCCAACATAGAAAAAAATGGGGTTTGTTATACCTTGCTACACCAATGGCCCATCTAGTCCTATGTCCTGTCTCTGAGAATGGCCAGCACTGGATGCTTCAGAGGAAGGTGGAAGAAACCTTATGATGAACCATGAAGGAAAAATCTGCCCTAGGAGGACAGTTTCTTCCTAACCCCAGACAGCTAGTGGTTTGTTTATGGCCTAAAGAATGAGGGTTTAAGTCTCTTATAATTTTTATCCCATCTAAATGTAACTTTGGATGTAATTATTAATGATACAAATGTCTAATCTTTTCCTGAATCTGTTAACTAGCTGACCTCAATGCTATTTGGTGGCAGTGAGTTCCACAGATCAATTAAGCATTTCTTTTTACATTTAAAATTTGCTGCTGGTTAATTTCTTTGGGTCTCCTCTTGATCTAGCTTTCTGAGGAAGGATAACAGGAGCACCCAATTTTCTCTAATATCATCACACACACAAAAAAAAACCTCACTACAGTGATTTTAAGACTTACATGTCTAACAACAAATGGCGGCCTGGTTTCAGCATCCAGTTTGTATCCAACAGACCCCAGGCTTAACCTTGACTGCTGCAGTTGGTTTTCTTTGCAGAGCTGACATAGGTGCTTTGTAGCATTTGGAGATGGAGAGCGGGATCTTAATAATCTTGTAAGGCTCTTACAGATCTTATTATCCTTTTTCTTTGTTGTCTTACATCGTGCTGGGGAAATGCTCCTTCGCCTGGGTGATACAGATGCAGATCTTTGTGTCCTCATTCTGTTTCTGCCCTGCTAGATAAATTAATTGTCTCATAAAGTAATTATCCAAGCAGAAACATGTACAAGCTATTTGCAAATCTCTCTGTAAAAGACAACCAGCTGAGCAGGGTTTAAAGTCAACAAGAGGCTCCTACACATCTGAGAGCAGACTATGGCTCTATGTGGCTACAAATTAAAACTGGGGAATCTGTGACCGTGCTGAGAAGTGACAGAAAGTCAATAACAGAAAGAAGGGAGCAGGGACTCATGCCTATCTTTTTTATCCATTTTACCTTTGTTTGACAATTTCTCATCTAGGGCTTGATCCTGTTAAATGTTGATTGCCCTCTGTGTGGTGCTCAGTAATCCCAACTTCTACTGAATTCAACTGGAGTTAAGAGCATCTCTAAAGAAGCATTCAGCAGCTCAAAGGATTGAGACCCAAAATCAAAATCCCGAGGTCATGACTTCAATGAGACCTTGCTTGAGTAAGGACATGAGCATTTGGCTCCAAAGAAGCAGTAATTCTGAATGAGCCAAATTCTGCAACCTTTAATTGAAAAAACTCCCTTGACTTCAGTGAGAACTTTGTTCCAGAAAGGACTGCAAAATTTGGACCATAAAGAATAATTATCTGGTAATGTACTTAACCCTGCTGGTGCAGAGGAACAATGACACTGGAGATTGTGTCTTGGCTAGTTAGTTATAGCACAATCCAGAGAAAACTGAAGCTATGTTGGGGGGGATGGGGGCGAAGCAAGCAGAAGAAACAGTAACCAACAGCATGCAAAAATGAAACACTCACAGCCAGAAGCAAACCATTCTCAGTAAAGGCCCATGGGTCAGGGAAATCCTTCCCACCAGAGATCACGATCACCTCAAGTCTAGCCTCTTTTAGGAGACAATGCAAGCCCCATTTTTTTCTGTTGCCCTTTTCCAGAATAATCAGCAACATCCTCCTGACAACAATCACCAAGTAATGAGACCCTTGTCATAGCAGGTGAACTGAGAGAAGAATAAAGAGATTTTGCCTTTCAGTGCAGAATCGGTGTGATTCTTATTTCTGTCTGAGGTACTTAAATGCAACGGTGACGGGTGCACTGTGACAGATTAGATCAAACATTGATGTTTCTGTCCATGTTTGTGTGCTTTAATTAAAATACTTACATAAAACTGCTTTCTGTTTTGAAGTGGAAGCTCAGTAATGGTTGTTCTTGTGGAAAACTCAATTTTTGGTGCAATTCCCTTAAAAATAATAAAGAGGTGAAATCACTAAAAATAATGTCATGGTGCAGGTGTTACAGTTTTACAGAGATGAGCAACAGCACCTCTAATTCAGTGACATTTCCTCAAGCTTCTTAATCTTTATTTCAGAATCAGAAGTGACTAGAGGAAACGCTAAAACCAAAAAGGGGTAATAGCAGACAGCAAAATGAGAATGAACTTGCAATGCAATATGGCAGAAAAAAGAAGCAAAGTGCTCTTAGATTGCATATTCAGGTAACACGATATTGAGCAGGGAGGCAACGGACCCTCTTTATGGACCTAATCTTTGCAAAGTGGGGAAAGATGATGGTTGAGGCCAACAATGTAGAAAAATATGTAAGACATTAACACAATCCCAGAGAGATATCCCATTCCTCAAAGAGCAAGAGCTGGGATGAAATGGGAGAATAATTCTTTTTATAGATTTGAGGAGGCAGGCAGCTCTTTCCTGTTTGTTTAACAGCTGTATTTACTAACACCAGTCTTCCTAAAGGGCCCTTCATACTCCAAACTACACCCTCCAAACAACTGTGAAAACGGAATCTATATTTCAGTTTTCCTTTCAAGGCAGGTGAAAGGGTGACAAATATTGCAGAAAGACAATTATAATCTGTAATTAACAAACACAATCTGTTAACTTGTAATCACTTTGGAATTTGCATTTAATGTAGTTCCGATTTCTTTAAAAGCAGTAACTATGAAGTCACGGTAACTGTACAAACATTAAGGACCAAATTATACCTGCTCCTCCATTTGTGCACTGAGATGGCGAGAGAGGGAGCAGGAAGCCATAAACTTTCTGCAGGTATTAGAAAGTGTACGGGTAGTGCCAGCTAGCAGTGCCTGCTAGGCTCAAAGCCCTAGAGAAAGTGCATCTGCACAGGAGAAAGGCAGGTCAGGGCCCTATCCTGTGGACAGGCAGCAATTGAAAGCAAGGGATCTGTGTGGGAAGCACTGGCTATACCTTTATGAGGACTTCTACACACTACCACTTATGTCGGTATAACTAATGTCACTCAGGGGTGTGAATAAGCCACTCCCCTGAGCGACATAAGTTACACGGACCTAACCATTGGTGTGGACAGCGCTACCGTCGCAGATGGGGGCTGGAGTAATTAAGTTGACGGGAGAGCACTCTCTCATTGGCTTAGAGCATCTGCACCTCTGTAAGCACCGCTGTAAGCTCTGTAGTGTAGCCAGAGCCTAAATGTGTAGCAGCAAGTTCTGCTGCTCACCACACTTCTCCAAAAGTTCTCCCCCTCCCTCACATCACTCTCACCTCTAAGAGGCACAATTTAGCCCTAGAGGGAGACATTCAATTTCCAATCTCGTCGGTTTCAAAACTGAGTTATGTTATGTCTCCCCAAATCCATTCAGCCCGTCATGACTTTTAGCTTAACTACAACGACTTTAGCTGGATCAGAACAACAAAATTAACAACCAGATAATCAAGTTAGCACAGTGAGCGGCTTCCTTGATTACAAGATGCATTCAGGCACATTTTATTCTTGGGTTCAATCTCCGGTCAACGACACTTGCTACTAACGGCCAACTGAAAACTATTTTGAACTCCTTAAGGGCAGCAAATTTGAAGGGGCAAGAACTTCTGGGACTGTGTTGCCAACACTGCAGAAAAATCAAATGTATCTGCTTGAAGCTGCTATTGAATATTTGGTTGCCAGCAGCCTCACCAGGCTATAGAAATCAGCATTCATATTGTTTCAGTGCTTTTACTCCACATAGTGGCTTAGTGACTAAAGAAGAATCAACCCATTATGACAATGTACAAACTGACTATCTGCTAGGCCACTTTACCCAGGTGCTGAGTGAGGAGGGAAAGGAGAGTTGTTGTCAGTTGTTGTCTCTAAAATTACATTTAAATACTATGAAATTTGCAACAAATGACAGAGTGCAGGAACATTTAACAAAACTTTTAATCACCAGGCCACCTGCTTTCAGGACATATTGACCTTGATGGAAATACCATTTTCATTGTTCAATTGCATTACAGTGGGAGAACATGGGTCTTTGTATGAATTTAATTGAACTAAACAAGCCCAGGCACATATAGGCAACAAAGCACATGCCAAGACTTGATGTAGAAACATGTAAATGACTCAAGAGAAGAAGACCTTCCAGTCCCATCAGGCTATTCTGTTCTGGCTTGACAGGGAACATTTACAGATTCAGTCACAGTTATAAAAAGTAGCACTAAGGGAGCACTTCACTTGTCCTACTCTGTATAGCCTGATCCAAAGCTTCTGATGTCAAGGTGTTTCCATTTATTTCAGTGGGCTTTGGATCAGGCCCTACTGTCAGATCTAGATTTCTAGAAGTCCACTTGGACACTTCACTTAATATTATTGATTATTAGAATTTTCTTCTCAGTTTCTAAATGAATTGTTACATACGCTCAGTTCTGATTCATTGTCTCAGACTGTTGGAGGCAGTGGCATTTACATTTATGTTAAAGGAGGGACAAATAAAACACATGACACCAAGTGAGAGTCAGACACACTAAAAATAAGAGAATAAAAATGGGACACCTGGTCAGAGCAGCATAAAACTGAACAAGCAGAATGCAGAGAAATGTCTTAGACAACCACAGCAACAACAGTATTTAACTTTAATTTACTTAAGAGAAAGAGATACAGTCCCACAACTGGATCAACCACTTTTTAATTGAAAAGCCAGAGCTGAGTTCTTAGGTACCAGTGGACAAGTGACTAGAATTTTTGCCCAAGAGGAGGACACTGAAGATGTAATTAATTTCAAGACAATAAACTGGAATCCTAAAAAACTAGTGTTTTACAGAGTCACTTTCCTCAGTAAGAAAAGGGGGACTTGTGGCACCTTAGAGACTAACCAATTTATTTGAGCATGAGCTTTCGTGAGCTACAGCTCACTTCCACAGTAGAACAGTTTTTAAGGTTGCATGTTTGGACTTAAGTTTTGCACTTCCAGATTTGAGGGTTTAACTGTGCAACCTTAACGCTGCACTAGCCTAGCTTTACTGCATTTAATCTCTAAATATTACAAACGCTTTATGTCAACTGTAAAAGCATTGAAAAACAGGTATTTTTCTTTATTACACAGTCTGACAGTCTATGAGTATCAAACTGTAATGTGGTGGCAAGGTTCTTCTGTTGATTCACCCTGTTGGCAGACGGTGGACCCCTCAGGGAGATGCTGCTTGATTCCTGCTAAGTCATTGTGGCAGATGTGGCTCATTAACCCTACACTATATCTGAAGGAGGTGACAGAGGCTTTGAGCATAGGGAGCCTGAGTCTAGGACAGAGAGATCTCTGTAGGGAAATCCTAGGAACAGCTACACTTAGGAAGATGCTTACTTTTACTTCTTGATATTTCAGTTGTCAGTAAATCCAAACCTCACAAAGGGGGTCAACTGGATTAAATGCAGAGTGGACATGATTCTGCTCTCACTTACAATGCTGTAAATCAAGAGTAAATGTGGTGAACTCAATGGATTTACAGCAATGTAACAACAGCATGAGATCAAAATTCCAGTCTCCAGAGATTCTGTTCCGAGAAAGTCCACCTGGCCACACAAATTCCTATGAAGATGGATCACATGAAATGCAGTAAAGGAAGGAAAGGGCACATTCAGGGCCCAATCCTGCATGCCTTACTCATATTAGTGGCTGCAGTTATTTTAATGTGGTTGCTCATATGAGTGAAGTGTTCACATGAGTCAGCCTGCAGGTTGATCCCTTAGGTAACATATAGTATCAATATAAAATTCAAATAATGTACAAAAATAGACTCAAATTATGAACTGAGACTTTCAGTCAGTCAGGATCATAATATGGGACTTAGCAATGTGACCGAAAATTTGGAGAGCCCAGCGCAGTACATTTGACTTTTGACTTTTGCTTTGCTAGGACACAAAGGGTTTACTCATCCAGTTTTGTAAGTCATCAAACCATCCTGTCAAAAATATAAATGGGAGTGAGAGAAGGCCACTGTGTTAGTAGTAAGTCATGAATATAACAGTGAAAATCTAGACTATTGCAGTAAATAATGTCACAATTATAGTAAGAATGCAATGTACTCTGCAGAAAATTATAAACAGCACAAGACTGGACCTGGAAAATCAAGATAGCTAAACTGAAAAATGTATACATTGTTAACAGAAACAATCAGACATGGCAGACACCAAATAAGAGTAGTTAGATAAACCTAGAATGTCACATGGACTAGAACACTGAAAAAATTAAGGATGACAACAAAAGAGATGAATGTGGTATCAAGAATATAGTAATGTATTATAATAATTAACAGAATTAGTCTTAATAAGACAACATTAATCAAAACCTAGCTATTAGCTTCTGTAATCTTAGCTAGTATTACTGGAGCTCCACTTTAGATAATTAAATCTAATGCTGCCTTCTATTTTTTGCCCACATTGAAATCTTAGCATGAAGAAATGCAATGGGCTCTTTTTACACATTCAATCCTTGCAGTCCAAATACTTCTTTATAAATGAAGTTCCAGCACTAGTCCTACAGGGCAGTTGAGAAGATCTGAAGGGCAGCCGTACAACATCAGTACCAGTAGACTTACTAACTGAGACAGTAATGATATAATGAAAAAGAGAATCTGCTGCAATAGTGGGTATTGTTAGTATTCTAAGTGATGAGTTAGCTAAATTACCAGGATTTTAGAGTGGATCATAGTTTGACCCTTTCTCCCCTGTGAAAAATATCAGGATGTGCATAGGCAGGTTGGTTAGTAGAAAATAGGTGAGCAGAATTAGACTTGTTTTACTGAATTGCATGATTGAAGTAGATGTCACTTTTGTCTCTCTCAACAGACAATCAGAATGAGAGAAAGAACAGAACATCATGAAGTAAATGTGTATATGAATTTAAACTCTCAATCAAGGCAATGGTAATTTACTTTCTTTAATCTTAATTACAGGAAACATCAGGAAGCTGAGGTTAATAAAGCCATTCACAGGCTGGTTACCTGAAACACTGACTGCCTTAACATTGAGAAATTATTCTTCTCTCATTACTGTGGCAAGCTAATAAAATATTCAGATTTTCAACACCACATCAAAATACTCAACATGATCATCTCCAGATAATCTGCCCTTGACCTACCTAACATACATGTCGCTGATATTAATTACATTGTTTTATAATATTCCATTCTCATCAAAGAAAACTGGACTAAATGTACACCAGTAACTCAGGTGTTATATATTTATATGGTGCCATTAAACTATCTCTGTATTAGGCAGAACTTGCCCCTGGTGAGTAGAAAAATTTTCCTGGTATGTGCAAACCTAAGCCAGCAATTTATACAGAATTTAATGTTTTATTTAAAAATAATTACATACCTAGCCCTTATGATATTGAAAATAATTTTCTAAATGTGAACCAATGCAGTTTTGAGTCTGCAGGAAGACTGCTCCAGCAGAATATTGCAGCTCATAGCTTTCCCAAGCAGTAACGGAATGAAATGAACAAAACCTTGGTCAATTTTATTGCTTCTACTGCATAATCCAATCAGCCTCAGTGAAACTGCTGAGAATTCTGTCAGTTTTATTCTTCTGTTTCTGCTTCAGAAAGTTAAGAGCATCAGGAAAGACAGGCACTGGACATATTTACAAGGACAGAAGACCCCCCCAAAAAGATGATTTGGAGAAGAGTAAACTAAGGAAGAGAGAGAGAGAAAGAGAGTGTGTGTGTGTGTGTGTGTTAGCATGTGTGTGTACGTGCATGTATGTATGTGTGTGCGTGTGTATAAATGGCTAGGAAAGACAGTGCCCCCAAACACAGTCAATGAGCAGTGCCCTGGAAATTTACCCAACACCCTGCCCTTTCACAGCAGCTGAGGATGGGAGCTTTGCGGCTGAGACCCTTCACCCATCTTTTACATTGGCCTCTGGCTAGTAGATTTAATCTTCAGTCAATTGATGCCTTGTACTTTTTTCAGGACACTACAGAGCCAGACAAGGTACTTGAGCATGTCTCTCTGTTCAAGAGCCGTACAAATTCATGTCTCAAACTGAGATCCTCACAAAGTAGCATGCCCTGTTACACTAGCCAGCTGGGCCAGACCTCTCCCACTTTATTCTTTTCAGCTACCCATGGCAAACACTCATTTGGAGACAACTTACTGGGAAACTAGGAGACGTTTTCATTAGTAACTCTCTCTCCACACCAGGATACACAGGAGTCAGCTTGGGCTCTGGGAAGAGAAAATCTCGAGTATTCTCTTCATAAAAAGCGAGATAGTCTCCCACTGAAAGAGTGAAAAAAGGAAGAACTGTTTCCAAGATGGTTAATATTTTTTTAGAAGTCACACATTCTGTAGCAAGCCCTTCGCAGAGTGTGCAAGCCCTACCTGGCTCACCAAGAGACCTGTCCCTCTTTCCACATCAGGAATGACTCAATCAGAAGTACAGGAGGTCTTTGGGATAGGTGTGCTCCAGCAGGAGTGTCACAGGGAATCCACAAAGGGTGGTATCCCCTGTAGATCTGCTTTGAGATCTGTATGAGGAGGCACACAAGCCCTTTGGGGCTCAATGTAGGAAGCTTTCAAGACAGCGGCACCTTGCTCCTCTTTGGTATATTGCCCAGCTCCAAATGGTAACTGGGGGACCCTCAGTTTGGGCCCTGAGCAGCCAGTGTAATGAAAACAACAGAAACACTGATAATCAGTGAACACTCTCTGTTCTGCTGTGTGCTCATTTTTAATTTGTGAGAAAGGCTCCAGTAAGGTCAAACTTTTAGTCTCAGGGACTGAGAAAATAACTGCTTTTAAATCAAATGACTTGTTAGTCTCATTTCCATTGCGCTGTCTACTCTGCTTCTGATTAATGTCTCTATCTTGAAAGTGAAATGAAGGAGGCAGAAGGGAGAGAGTCCATTTACACCTCCATCTGTAATGAAAGATTAAGCTTAGCACAGCAACACTGGAGCTTGATGCCATCTTTTACACACAGTTTGTCACCGGTACCCCAAACTATTTTGGGATCGGAATGACTGCATAACCTCAGAGACATACAATCCACATGTATTGTGGGGAATTTCCAAAGCAGTGCAACTTCAGAGAGCACACCAAATTCAAATCTGTCCTTTGCTTTTCCTTTATTAGGGCCCAAGTTTAGGGGAGCAGAGCACCATCAATCTCACTGATGTGATTAGGAGAAGAAAGCATTCAAGAGTCTGCCTTTACACAGCATGGCCCTTCCAGAATATGCAGAGTCTATCCATATATCTGTCTATCCATACAGGGCCAAATCCTGATCCCACAGATGTACACTGGGAGTTTTCTCAATATCCTTGTAACACTAGGATTTAGCTCATTAGCATTTAGAGAGAGCTTTACTTTTCTGAAGCACTGTACAAACTACTAATTCACCTAATTAATTGTCTATTTAAATAAAATCAAACAAGACATGTTTGTAATGTGCTTATAAAAATCATATTTACATTCTTATGTTTGTTCAGTATAGCTGTCGTCATAAAGTGATTTGCAGGGTTGTTGTAGCCCTGTCGATCCCAGGATATGAGAGAGACAAGGTGGGAGAGGCAATATCTTTTATTGGACCAACTTCTGTTGGTGGAAAGGACAAGCTTTCGAGCTATACTGAACTCCTGTGGTCTGAAGCTGGTAACCAGAGCATCTGAGCTTAACACAAGGTGGGGCAGACTGTTAAGCATAAGTGGGCAATAGAAGGTTAGACTGTTAAGCATAAAGGGTTCACACATGCTGCGGTTTCTTTATGCTTAACAAACTAATCCTTTCTGGCCCACTTCATTTTAAGGGGCTCCTATAGCATGTGTGTACCCCTCCCGCTTAACAACCTGCCCCACCTTGTGTTTATCTTGGACACTTGGTTACCTGCTTCAGATCTAAAGAAGAACGCTGTGTAGCTTGAAAGCTTGACCCTTTCACCAGAAGAAGTTGGTCCAATAAAAGATACTACTTCATCACAAAGCGATGACAGGAAAAAGAATAGGGGTTACTTACCGAAGTAACTTTTGTTCTTTGAATGTACTCCCTCCAGACGGCCACACTGCAGGAGTCACACACCCAGCCACCCAACCATGGAACCTTTTTGAGTACTGCTGAGTCCAGCATTCCCCTGACTTAGAGTATAAATATCCCCATCTTTCTAACCATCCTGTTGTTCTTCTCTATTTCTAGAAGCCCATGACATTGAGCTCTGAAGCAGAGGGGCAGAGAGCGGGTCAGTGTGGCATTATATAAGGTATATATTCAGAGACAAAGGTCACTTTGGTAAGCAACTTGTTTTTCTCCTTCATCACATTGCTTCCCCAGGATAGCAGACTAACAAGGAGATGGACTGTGACACACCATTTGCTAAACTGTGACTGAGGCACAGCCTTCCTGAAATCTAACTTTGCTGCAGTGTCAAGCAAATACCAGCTCATGAACCGCAAGTAAAAGCCCTGCAAATTTCTCATAAGAACACGTTCTGAATGCCTGCCACAAAAGCTGCTACTCTCCTGCTTGAATGGGTTCTGTGACATTCAGATACAAGGACCCTGGCCCACTCATAATGAGACTAAAGACAAAACCTTATCCACCTAGGGTATATATCTATACTGCAGTTAGACACCTGTGACTGGCCCATGCCAGCTGACGTGGGATCACGAGGGCTCAGGCTCAGGGGCTGTTGGCCATTCAGACTCAGTCTGAGGCTCTCCCACCTTGCAATGGTCCTAGAGTCTGAGTTCCAGCCCGATCCCAAACATCTACACTACAATTAAGCAGCCCCTTAGTCCGAGCCCTACAAGCCCAAGTCAAATGGCATGGACCAGCCTCACGTTTTTAATTGCAGTGGAGACATACCCTTAGACAACCTTTGAACTAAAACACCTTAAACTTCAGACTTTTCTCCAAAGGCAATGTATGGCCTATTGGTTTTGATAAAAGGCTTTGGGACAGATTTTCAAAGACCTTAACTCATAAGTCGGCACATAAATTAAATAGTAAGATTTTCAAAGTGTTCAACGTTTTGAATGACCGCACTGGGAGCTACTGGGTACTGTGCACGTTTTGAAAATCTGGCCTTTACTTCTGTCTAATGAGCAGCTGCCAGTTCTCACCCTGCAGAATGTGCAATCAGGCTTCTCAGGGAACTTGGTGAAGCTTTGGGAAAAACACAGAGAGATGTATCGCGTCATATGAAAATCATCAACTATTTTTGTTTAAAATTTAGGGTGAGGGATACGCTGCAGTTTATCCTTATGAAAGATACTGCATATTGTAGCAATGGTATATTAGAGCCTGCAGCTCTGATGGTGGCACAACTAAAAGTCAAAAAGAAAGAAAACTTCAGTAAAAGGTAATAAAGAGAGCAAGATTCTTAATCCTTCTCAGCTTGATCCTTTATAGCTGGGTCATTTTTAGGGGCTCTCTAGAGCTCCCTCTTGGGCCTTGCTTACACTAGAAAATAGAAACATGGCAGCAATCAGTTTCACTGCACTGGTGCTGACCCTGATACAAGACAAACTGGAGTCAGTTCTGGTTTCACTAACAAGCATTACATTTGGATTTTTAAAAGTTGAGCAAAGTCCCTTCAGCCATTTTTTGAGTGAAGGAAGAGTGAAAAATATACAAACTTCCCATTGTAAAAAAAAAAATCTAACTACATATTTTTGCAGGGCTACAACAAAAAACAGCTTAACTCTGAAACTTGAAATCATGGCAAATGGAGCTCTACATTATTATTCATGTTACATTTACATATCATCGATGAACAACAATGGTGACAGAGATGAGAAAATGTGGAAAAAGAAATTAAAGTAATTTGAGTATTCCTAACACAGCAACCGGTAACATAAAAATGCATAAAATATATTATATTAGTGGTAGAGCACTACCTATTTTTTAGTAATGAAGACTGCCAGTGATTTTACCCTACATACAAATGTTCCATATTTGATTACCTTAAAGAGCAGGATTATTCTGCCACCCTGTGTCCACTTGATTTTTCTAACTTATAAAAAGCACAATAAAAAGTTGTTATAATGCCAGTGCTAATAGCTGCTAAATGGAAACTCTAAATTATTATTCACGTTGCATTTAAATATCATTGGTGAACAATAACAGTGAAAGAGAAGAGAAAATTAGGGGAAAGAAATTAGAAAAATTTGAATATTTCTAACAAATCAACCAGTAGGTCACTAGTCAGAAAATGTATCTTATTTTCACTGATAGATGATCAAAGCGTATGCAGAGTCGGGGTTGGGGTGGGACAGCAGATGTTTGAAGGCCCCTGGAAGAGGAGATGGGAGAGAGGAAGAAAGTGGGGAGGCAAGGCTCAAAGTTAACACCCACTGGAATGCTCCTTGTAATGTCTAATTAACCGCTATTTTGTAAAATATTTACTAGCCCATTACCTGAAGATACTAGTTGAAGTAATCCAAACGTTGTTATATTGCCTAAAAGAAGACAAATAAATGATGTCAAGGTGGCTGAAAAATTATGATATATTCAAAATATTCCTGTAGCACAACAATAAAAAATAAGGATAGATAGATAGCTAGATAGATCTGATGCAACTACACTGTCTTCAGTTATACATGCATTCTGAATATTCTTTAAATTATACTTACTTTCAAGCATCTCTGTTACAGCAGCAGGGTCTACAGCACTTTCAAATACCTACAGGAAAGTAATACAGAGTATATTTTTTCTTTATAATACAAAGGGCATTTTTATAATCTAGCATTTATATGAACATTTTTTATATATTCAACAAATATTTCCCTAAGCCATGCTGTGCTGTCATTAAGCAAACAAACAAACAAACCTGTGAAAATACTATATATTTTACTGCGTGTTACATGTTTATTAATCTCAGCTGTAAAGTACTGTAACAATTTGTTTAAAAAGTTGTTAAAGTCTTGAAAATCTTACTTGTTTAAACCTGAAATTTCACACACTGTAGCCTCTGAGTCAGACTTAGAAGTAAGTCTAAAGAGTTTTTCAGGAAATCTCCCACTATTGCACTAACATTAGTATAGTTCTACTATACTAGGAGAAGCAATGGTGGAAGAGCTAGTGTAAAGGGGGCACAGGTTTTTTTGAGAATACAGGGTTCTTGATCAAACCAGGGGCCTCAACCCACAAAGCATCATCAGTGCCCTGGCTGCCATCACTTTGAAGCACAGGACGAGCCCTATATAGACAAGAGAGGAGTTCAGGAATCTAAGGTGACAATCCTATTTGTTATTATGTAATTTTTAAAGACTATACATAAAATCAGAATATTTTATGAACATGAAATAAATATAAATACATTTGACTTGGCTTAATTTCATCCCATTACTCCTAGCCACAATTTGCTGGTCCACGCTAAAAGAGATTCCTCTGCCTTAGGGTGAAATCGTGACCTCTTTGAAGTCAATTTGAGTTTTGCCATTGACTTTAATAGGGCCAGGATTTAACCCTTAGTATTTTACTTCTTTCAAGCAGCTGTGGTCAGCTATATCTCCACTGACTCATCTTTTAACCCAGCCCTTAATAATTTTTGTTGCTTTTCACAGAACCATAGAAATGTAGGGCTGGAAGGGACCTCAGGAGGTCATTTAGCCCATCCCTCCGTGCTGATAGGATTAAGGATTTTTTCTGTTTTCCACCCAATTTGTCAACATCTTTCTACCTCTGATAATATTGAAGCTTGCAGGACAGTACTTCAGTGACAGCCTTTTTGGAGAAAGGAAACTCAAAGAGCGCATCTTCGCTAGGAAAAAAGGTATGGTCTTGAATGTCGTGTAAGCTAACACACGGTAATAAAAATGAGGTCGTATCTTAGCAAAAACAAGACAATTTGTATTTTTCATACATGTTAGCAGTCAAAGTAAAGACTATGTGGGAGCCTAGGATTTATCTTGACCTAACACTTGTTAAAACTATAACTCCCTTGTCTTCACAGGATTTTATGTCATGTTCATTATTGCGAATTAGCTAACACAAGGTAAGAACACACCTTTTTTCTAGTGAAGACAAGGCTCAATTCACTGTCAAGTAATCTTCAACTGTCACTCCAGGCCTAGGAAGTGAAAGGCATTTAATCGTATTCCTTAGAAAGTGGAATCTTATGAGAGATGTGGAAAGATTTATTTGTGAAAACAGAGCCACACAGAAAGCTGTTTGCAAAAAGCAGAGATTCTCCTAATAGAGCAGAGCAAGAGCCATTAGGGAAAGAATAATGGTAACAGATGTGCTCTGTACTCTTAAAAAATGTCTACTTATGTATTAAAACTATGTTACCTGTAGTGATTTCAACAAAGTTTTCTTGCCACAGCCAAACTGTGCTGAAACCATTTTTAAAAACCATCATCATGCATACATCACCATTCATCAATATCATAGCCAATCAGCAGAGAGAGTATTTTTAAAAATCTTTTATGAACATTTTAGAGTTAGCCAAACCATTTACTCCCAAGGAAATTCAGGCTGAATTCTTGTGTTCTTGGTTATTTCAGATTTTAATATGGCATGTAAAATGTTGGTTAAAGCATTCATCTGTCATTATCCTTAATTCTATGCCTGCCAGTATCATGAAAATCAGATGATAGTCATCCCACAGCAGAGATGTTATTTTGTTTCCACAGAAATGGGATCGCAACCAAATAAATCCTGAGCAAGAGAACTAACACACTAATGTCCTTCCTAGGATTATATAGGATTGTTTCCCTGGAGCACACTCCAGTCTAACCAGTGATCCACAACCGCCAGTGCTATTGCCATGAATAAAAATTCAGATAGCAAAGTGTTAAATTTTAGAACCTGTTCCCAGTCAAAGATGAAACAGATCTGATTCTTTGCTACCTTGCATGGGAAGCAAGTGTAAAATTATAGTAAATCAAAATCTTCTACTAACTGTACACTGATGGTAGCATTTTACACCCACTTTGCACAGTGTAAATTACTATCCATGGTGAAAGGCAGTAGAGGATCAAGCCCAAAGCATGTAATAAGTGAGAATCACCTTTTCAAACCACATCTTCTCATGAAACAAGAGAGGGAAAATTGGAGGAAGGCATTCTGTCTCCTTGTATTGGCCCATGATGCAGACACTGAGGTAAATGTCATGTTTCTCTGGCAGGACCACACCAGGGCAAGTGACCTTATGAAAGAGAGAAAACAATCATGGTGATCAGAATTCTTTTAGGGCAGCCTTCCCCACTCTGTCCCACCAGTGTGCCTGTTGCACAATCTGCAGGGACTACCATTATGGTCAAGTAGGTAGTACAATGTCTGTGCCCTGGGCTTCTCTGTTGACAAGGGTGCAGTTAGGGTCCAGTTCTATCTTCAGTTACACCAGTGGAAGTTACAGCTGTATAACTAAGGGCAGAATTGAGTTTTTGGAGTGGGATTTTCAAAAGTGGCTAAAAGCGTACGTCTACATTGCAGAAAAACACCCACTGCTGGCCTATGTGAGCTGGCCCAGAATGTTTTCTTTAGTTTTGTTCCTTTTATTTAAAAAAGTGTTAATATGCTGTGCATTTGCTGGTTTTATGCTTCATATATTTGGGACTTTCTTTTTTCAATAACTGTATCCTTGGTGATGAAATATCATGGATTTTAACATTTTACTGAACAGAAACTAAAATATTTTAATCGGATGCCAGAAGAGGGAATTCAAAGGCTAAGAGATAAGAGAAACATTTAAAAATAACTATTTCGCATCTGATGAAAAGCACTACACAAAAGGTGGTTATTATCTGCTCTTGCCAGACTCTGAACTGACACAATAATCCTGAAAAAGACTATTACACAATGAATATTGCACACAGTGTTGTAGAACTGAGTCCTGGCATTGCCCTGACCTTTACCATTAAGCCCCTTTCCCCCTTCGGTGTAATTCCCATTGTTCCCACGGGATAGGCAGCGTACAGCCTATATGAAAACAGGGCGTGCCCTAGGGCTGAAGGGCTAGGGCCAGGTAAAAGCCATTAGGACCTTATTTCGTGGTGCTTCACAGAGTACTGATTGTTTCTTTACAAGTTACCGCACAGAATCCTTTAAACACGCAGCTTCCTGTCAGTGCCCCCGCGAAGGGAGGCGACAGCGCTGACCCCGCTGCGATAACACGGAGCAGCAGCCCACGCACGGCCCGTGGGGACAGCAGGGGCAGCGTTTGGCCCGGGCAGCGGAGTGGTGCTGCACGTCGGGGCCCTGCGCGGCCGCGCGTACACAGCTGGGAAGGTTGTGCGGTGGGGGCGCGGGGGGGGGGGGAGCGGCTCTCCCGTCCCCGGGGGCCCTGCCCCTCCCTCGCTCGCTGCCCTTGCTAGTTCGGGCCCCTGCACCCGCCTCACCGCGTGGATCTGCAGCTCCACCACCACCTTCAGCGGCATGCCGGGGCGCGCTGGGGGGCTGCGGGGGGTTCTCGCCGCCTCCGCTCCCAGGCCGGCCGCAGCCCCGGCCCTCTCCGCCCGGATCAGCGCGCTGCTGTCCGGCAGGGGAAGCGTCGCGTTGCCATGGAGACTCAAACGTTCCAGCATTCGCCTTCGGAACGCGGAGGCAGCCCGCGCGCGCCCCCTGGAGCCCCCCATCAGCACTTCCGCCTCCGTCCCTCCCTCCCTCCCCCCACCATGAGCTGTTTCGCAGCATGCAGGAGGCTGGAGGGGAAGGGGGAGGAGCGAGGATGTGACACATTAGGGCGAGGGGCTGGAATGGGGCATGAAGATTGGGGAGGGGAGGGTGGGGGCAGGGCTGTGGCCTTGAGGTAAGGGGTGAAGAGGAGGTGGGACCTAGGGCACAGCTGGTGCTGGTCAAGCCCCGCCCCGGGCATAATGGAAAGTCCGCGCCTGTGCATGCAGGAATAGAGCCCTCTGCATGTGGCTCTTACCTGTGCCATGTGGAAGTGTGTCTGGCGTGAGATGAGGTGCTGTGGAATCAGATGCTTTTGCACACCGGCTGTATTGCTTTTCTTTCAGGAAATCATCTGTTGTCTGGAAGTATTGCTTCAGCTTCAGGTTGGTGAGCAGGAGGTTCTCATTTCGTGGATAGGTTATCTCCTTTCCCTTCTCAGCACTCCAACACGTCCCCAGTTTCTCAATCTGCTGGTGAAGACCATTTTGGAAGTCCTTTATGGAAGTCCCATTCCAGGAAGTTTGGGTGAGATTGTTTTTAAAGATATGGAAGAGCTCTTAGAGGATCTGCTGTATGGCTACCTTGGCATTCTCTTGCTGGGATAGTCGGATCTTGAGGATACCTCTGGGCTTGAAAGCTGTCATTTCATTTAGACATTGGAAGGGAAAGTTTCTACCCATTTTCTACAGACGCTGTAAACTCTTGCTGGTCATTCTGGCTTGTAGAACATAAATCCCGTTACAGTCCAGACATGAGATTTCACTGGAGAGGAGCAGCATGAGGCAACACTGCAGCAACCACCTGCTGATCATGATGATGTCTTAGATTCCCTGTGTTTGTGTAGAACTTGAGCAACTGGTGCCTGTTCAAGGTCTTTCGTAGACTTTTGTGTTTTTGACCCCTGTCTCTGAATTTAAGTATTCTGTAGGAAAAGATTTTTCTTTTGTCACTTTCTACTTTTCAAGGTTTTTCCTGCTTGAGGTTTTCACTTTCAGTTTCCTTCTTTTTATTTAGTGGAAGCAAACAAGTCATTAGAAGAACAAAACCACAGTCATTAACTTTTTTAATGTTAAAGAATCCCTACATTTCTTTCCTTAGGCCCCCCCTGCCCTTTTAGATTAAAAAAAATTTAAAGGGTAAGAAGAGTATGATGATTAACATTGTCATCCAGTTACAGGTTAGAGTAGGGACCTCTCTGTCTACTCCCAAGTTCCTGTAGTTAGCACTGCTAGGCAGGTCTGAATGTCTGTTACACCAGTAAGACTATCCATGTTTTTAAGTGATAACAATGAATTTTGGCAGATGGGCAGGGCTGGGGGGGACTACTGCAGAAGTTCTTTTTGCTCAACTCTGCAGATAACAGCAGTGAAGTGATGTGTAAAGCTGCTGTTCCTTCACTTTGCCAGCTGGTGGAAAACTTTCCCTCTCTGGTGTTGCACTCAAAATCAGAAAACCCTGCTATACTCTGGCTGCCTCATTCCCTCCTTCCAACCTAACATTATAAGGACCTCTTAAAATTTGATCAGCATGGAAAAAATTCCTATGAGAGATTGGTGCCAGACAAGTCTCTATTAATCTCACACAATTTCCTGGCCATTTGAAATATGACAGAGGAAAAACCATGTGTGTAGGGAATACCAGAGGATGGACAGAGGTCACTCAGAAACTGGGATGTTTACTTAAAAAACTGATATCCGCTGTGAAACACCCGAGGAACAGATACAGTTGAAGGGTGTGAACATGCTAACTTCTCGGGCACTTCTTAGTAGTTCCCAGTGATGTAGTGTAATGACATGGAAGGGAGTTGTGCAGAAAGATTGTTTTTGTGGTTGATAATAAATATGTTAGAGCGACTGACATAAAGGAATGTCACTTTCAAATGTGTTTGCCTTTTCACCATTCAAGCTTTATTCTTTTCTCAATGTGCATTTCACTGAGCTTGGACATTGAAATTCAAGTGGTCTGATGAATGAAGTATGCATCCTGTAGCAAGTTTCACTTTCTCTTTTTCATACCATAGCACTAGGCTGTCACGTTGGAGTTTCCATCAGTGAAGGGGAATGGTCTTCAACCCAAAAATTGAAAAGGAATTTTTTCATATTAATTTTTAAAAAGGAAAAGAAGAAAACATAAGCATATGTCTGTTCACGTCACTTCTTTTACATCTCCCTGCCCCATCACCTCAAGCACTTTCTTTAATCATAATCTAGAGTTCTGCCTAAACTATTTGGAAGTGTCACTTTAAAGAATGCAGTATCACTTTAAAGGGACCCAATCATACCCAGAGGCTCTGCACCCCAATCTCACATTCACTCCAGTGGGAAGTTCCTGGCAAGTTGAAGCTTCAGGAGATAATATTTATATGAAGAGAGAGAAATTTTAAAATCTGAATCTTAACAAGAAAAGCTAAAATAAGAAAGCAGTGGAAGTAAAGGCACATAGTCTTGCAGCACATTTGCATCAGCCATTCGCCTGTTTTCTGGGAAAGGTTAGATGCAGACTCAGCTGGGTGAAATATTTGCTTGAATTTGATGAAATACTGCATATTTAAATTTCAATGAAAATAGCAGGAAATTTTGTTTGGAATTTTTTCCTCTGTGTCAGCCAGCTTAACTTGAATGTGAAATAAGAGATTAGTTTAGCCCCTTTTCCTATTTGCAAATAATCTGCAAATAAATTCAGAAGGTGCTAATGTGTTTATTTTAAATGATTTGACAAATGGTTTATACTCATTCCACTCTGATTGCTCGGGACCTCCTCACCACATCTTTTCCCTATGAGTATTTGCTATGCATAATTTGCTACTTGTTCTGTATGATGGTTCACCTAAGTCAATGCTATTGTGTCTGTTCCCGGGCTGGTTGCCTTCAAGTTCAAAACTGCTTTCAAGATATCTGCATGAACTTTTCTGGAGAAAATTCTCTTTAAAATATGTATTTATATGAGTGTTTGTTATACTTTCTCATTACAGAGATGTTCTTTTCTAACAAAAACTCACATGTGTATATATATTTCAGAAAATGCTTACAAAGGGCCAAACATTTTTCATAAATGTTTAATAAGTCTCAAATGTTTAGGCTGTGACTAAAATATGTTGTTGGCAGCGTTACTCTTGACTTATAGCTCTTTGAAACTACTATCCATTTACACCAAACTTGGTAGAGAGATGGATCCTCACTAGATCTGATTCAACTGGCAGGTTTATTACTCGAATTTTATATGTTGGATTGAGGTTCCATTTCAGCATGTAGCTGTGGATATCCTTTTCCTAAGAAGACAACCAGAGGAAAACTGTACATACTGACTTGCTTGGCTGCAAGGCCAGGGCCTGTGCCGCCTCTGGCCGCAAGTTTGCTAAAGATGTGTTCAGCTATTGAGGATCTAATCCTCCCAGAAGAAATGTATCATTTTCATGGTGTGACGTTCTGTATCTCGTAGGAACACCCTACACCCCCATGTTCATCCTTATGATTGTGTGATATCTAATGCAAAGTTTGTCATGTCGGGTGTCTTTGGAAGGCTCATGCTGCACTGAGCATTGTGGTCATAGTGATGTTATAGTAATTGTTGTTACAGCAATGTTAGAGTAATGTTAGAGGTTATAATTTCATGTTGTGAAGGCTAAAAATATGTCGTTTTGGCTTAAAATAAGCCCAAGCGAAAACTCTCCAAGAGCAGAGAGGCAGTTCACACCTCATCAGGGCATGTATGGGACAAACCCAGCCAAGCCTCACAGGAACAAAGGACGCTGGCCTAGGCAGCAACAAAAGAATCTATCGGACTCTCGAGTCATCCATCCCCCCTTCCTTTGGACAGTTTGGGACTGCGATGAGGTAATGCTCACCTGATTCTGAAGGGGGGGAGGCAAAGCCAAGAGGGAAGAAAGAACATGATAAAAGGGAGAGACGTTTGCCATGCTCTCTCTCTTCCAGCTACATCCACAGACACCACACCAAGAGACTGAAGCACTGATCAAAGGGGAGAGCCTGGCTGAAGAGCAATCCTCCCAGAAGAAATGTAACATTTTCATGGACTCTCATTGTGATTGTGATATGTTTTCACCCAATATTATACACAACTCCATTGGTGAAATGCTGTTTAACTAATATGGAAGTATAATTAGTCCAGATAAAAAGGGCCAAAATTATGATAACCTTTGCTTGTGGGGTACTTCACGGGAAGGCAGGGAGAGCTTGTATTTAACAAGCTATTTGCATTTAAATATAGTGGAACACAGTCACCAGGGCCTGCAGTTATGGTCTGCTGTTCCAGTTCTCGAGATGCAGGATGACCTCTGCTTCTGTAGTTACACCCTCATCCTTATGTAACAATAGCAGCTCCACACAGCATTGTTATTTCTAGTGGCAAATGAGGTGAAAGCAACCCCTTCTCCATAGTCTCTGTAGAGGAAGCAGCCATAATATGTCTGCATATACTAACTGAGGCTTGGCCTACACTAAAAATATAGGTCAACATAGCTATGGCAGTGAGGTGTGAAAGAGCTATATCCCTGAGCACTGTAGCTATGCCAACTTAACCCCCAGTGTAACTGCAGCTAGGTCAATAGAAGAATGCTTCTATCCATCTAGCTACCGTTGCTCAGAGATGGAGTTCCTACAGCAATGGAAAGAAAGAAAAAAAAACCCCTTCCGTTGCGGTAGTCTGTCTACACTACAGACTTACAGTTACAACACCATAACTATGCTGCTGTAGTGCCCATAGTGTAGACGTGGCCTGAGTGCAAGGAAGGTACTGTTGGTATCCATCAGCCCCACGAAAAGGTCATGTGTGGCCAGTGAGTGAAGAGCATGACCATAGGCACACCCCTTATATGCACATGCAGTGGTGGTGGTGGGGGGTGGCTATAACCCTCCAGGCAAGTGTGTGTCGGCCTGCACCAAAGAGAGCATGTATTATTGTTGGTCTGTAGATGTAGCAATTGCCACTTGAGGGGCACTGTGAGAGTATGCTTCCAAGACTAGGAATGCCTTTAGCCTCCAC